CGTACCACATGGAAGCACGCAGCCACCACTCCTCCGTTCCGCTCCCCGTGCTGCTCGTGTCGCTCCACTGGAGGAAGTTGTCACCGCACATCCCCATCACCGTGCATTGCGGAATACAAATCAACCACACGGCATGGGTGCGGTGCCACCCCGCCAATAAATCCCAGGATCTTCCCCACCGCCTCGTGTGGCACGGGCGGCAGCATCATGATGCCTGCGAAAGGCTTTTTTCAAACAAGAACGCGGCCCCACCACACGCCCGTAAAACCGTTGGGTCCGTCGAACACAAAGGAGTTGAGCGGGAGAACAGCAGGAAAGGCAACACCGGCAGCCATGAGCAGCCCACACACGCCAACACACCGCTGCCCCGCATATCACCAAGAATAATCTTCTGTCCCGCTGGCCGGATCCTGAAATTCCCTATAGAAACCAAAATCAAGATGGGGAAGAGAATGTAATTGAAGGCAGTTAAATGCCCAAATATCTTCTTCTGATAAAATATATATTTTGCTAGCCACTGTCATGACATACTGCGCTCTATCCAAATAGGATATATATATATTTACATATTATTACTTACGAAGTGGCAGACTTTGGGGTCCTCCGACCACAAGACCCTGCCGCTCCCCTTCGCAAGTTCCACCCCTTCGCCAAGTCCTGAAGTGTAAAAACACGACCGCGTGACATGCCGTCCGCGGGGTTTCCCGCAGACCGTACGTAACCAAAGGATGCCTTTACTCCGCGAGAGTCCAAAAACTCATATATCCGTCGCGGCTCCCACGTCATGGCGTGTGATTTAGAGCTGCCCTTATTCGCAGCTCCTCGCAGCGAAGTGTTGTCCACCCAAACGTCCATAGTGGATGGCAAGATGGCGGAAAAAGCCGATGAGGCTAGGCGTACTGCTCGTGCCTCGGCCTGCATGATAAGAAAAGGCTTCCTCTTCCCCCATTTCCCTCCGGCAATTTTAACGTCGCCGGAGTCTGGAATAAAAACGGCTCCCCATCCATGGAGCGATGCGTCCGTGATGATGGCAGCCGATGCCTTTTCCGTGGAATTGATGATTCGCCTACGATTGTATTCTTGATCATGCGTCGTAGTCTCTCGCCCAAACCAACCGCTGCCGACGGAAGGTTTGCCGGGGATGTCTCCAGCACAATCCCTTGGTTAACTGCGGATAATTGTCGTCGCACTGCCTTGATAAAAAAGTAGTGGTCACATAAACGCGTGCAAAAAATGGCAGCCGCGTACAAAAAACGTGACGCCGTAACCTCCATTTCCGCGATGGTTAAAGAATTGGGTGCCGGCATGGCGCATACAAACAGGACAAACGTGTCACTCAGGGATACCGCACGGTGTTGCCATGATCAAACCGCACTCCCAGGAAGGTGCACTGCATAGCGCCCGATTCGCGGTCCTCCCCCATGGATGCGTGACAACCGTCCGCATTACGAAGCACTTGGGCTTCCCACAGTGTCACATCGCTTCTCGACCCTGCAATGCGTATATTACCGACCCATACGTCGATACGCACCAACGGAGATGCAGCCCAGAGGGGGCGAACCACCGTCGTCACCCCCGCAATTGCCGAAGTAATAATCTGGAGAATTTCTGGGCCGGCCTTGCATCCCATTGGCAGCCGTGTCAGCTCCACCAGTGTGCCGTCCTCCACGTGGCATCGAAAGAGATGCCGAGTCTCCCGCGGTAAAGAGACTCGGAAAAAAGGATGTCTAAATCCAGGCAGGAAGCGGCCTCAGCCATCGCAGGTGGCAAATAATGGGAAATGTGTAAAAGAGGAACATTCGCCTCATAAGGGTCCTCTCTGTTCTTGTCGCGTGGCCACGCGATCCATCGTCGTCGTAAGCCGGTGGTTTTCTCCTCCACAACTGGGAAAGGTATTATCCATCCGCCTGTTATTGTGGACGAACCGTCCTCGATTATTCTTGCTTTTCGTAACAATCTCGCGTCAGCGACTGGAATCCTCCGTGAGCCTTCGCGCGCTCTACCGGAGGAAGATGGAAAGGGGACCGCCCGACGAGTCCCCAAACTTGCATGAGCCTCTCCAAGGTGGCCGGGTTCAACCGACTTTTAATCCACTCCAGGTTCAATACGGGCACGTTGACCTGCTGTAACGGGATGGTTCGTTCATCTTGTGGAGTGGCCAGACGCGCCCTTGTCGCGCGTCTCGTTATTGTAGCAGCATGATTGTGATTAAAATCATGGAAAAAACGCTCCTCCGCTCTCAGCCAGGGTTCCTGCCCTTCCGCCGTTTCTCCCTTCACATCAACGCGACCAGCGACGACACCTGGGTCAGCATTGTGGTGTACTTCCCCAAATATCGAACGGTATTCTGGGGAAGGTCGAACGGATCGACGTGCTTCGCCAACTGCGAGATCACGTGTGGATTCAAATTGAGTGTCTCCACGATTTGCGCAGCGTGCCTCAACGCACCGCGTTTTATGGAACGCGCCGTGGCATCCCAAGGAGCCAAAGTTCGTTCGACTTGGGCATTAGTAATATTCGTGAGCCTTACGCTGCGACGGAGTGTCCCGCGTAGCTTTATAATGTCGAACGCGTCCTGCCCTCGTCTCCTGTCGGACAGCGGGGCGCGGCGGGGATCCGCCCCAACGCTTTTCGAGCCACGGAACAATCCAAAATTATGACCCCGTCCGGCTTCAGTTTAAGATTGTTGGGTGTCAAGGCCGCAATTCCGGACCAACGACTCGCTGTTATCCACGCGAGTCGTAAGACAACACGTTCCTTCCAATCGGTCCGACTGCGGATTACTTGATTCGTCTCTTCCTCTGTCAAGGGGCGCGCCTGCCTCGTCTGCTTCACCACCGATCACGCCGCAATTTTTTGCAACCCCAGAATCACCATGTCCAGCGGGGTTCGATTCATTTCCAACATGGACCGCAGCATCCTGGCGTACTGCAGTCGGGTCGATGGCGCCACATCGATTGCCATCAAAAAGACCGCACAGCTCTCCTCGTTCATCGGCTGTTCGTGCGTGCGGCTAAAGGTTGTGAATTGCCCCGCTAGGGGCATTCCACGCTCCCACGTTGACGGCGCCCACATCTCTCGAGCGACCTCGTTCGCTCTCCTCATATAACTGACCCAAAGCGGGGATGTCGGTGATTCGTCGTACC